CCCCCTACAACCTATCGATGGCAATACTCGGCGTGTACAGCTCCCGGATAGTTTCAATGGGGGACCTATAGTGTATACTGAGCCAGATAGCTGTTCGTATGAGGATATTGAAAATATATTGTAGCATTGTGAGCTGGAATCGAACTCATGATCTTTCTGCTGCTCAGTGACCCACCAAATCTGATATTGGACGTTAAGGACCCCACAAAAGCTGCGCCCAATGGCAGGGCCATATAAATCTGCTAGTAAATTACATAATCCTTGGCTATTACCCGGGCATGCCCGGGTACCCGGGTATTTTGCCCGGGCGTGCCCATGCCCGTCCGTTGCGAACCCTGGGAGCGGATGGGAATGTCCGGGTTTGGATCATTCGAGGGAAGAGTCCGCGCATGCTCACGCAAATTATTGACGTCTTGCTGATAATTCGCATCTTTTTCGCCCATCAGAATGTCGCGTCTGACTTCCGCGAGCTTGGTATCTCCTAGTCTGTCCCATGTTCCCTTCCCGTCGAAACCATCTACACCTAGAAGGTATAGGTAGTACATAAGGCCGTACCAATCGTCTGAATCAGGTCCCTTCTTGATGGATTCGCTGATGAAGTTCATTGGGCAGGTGAAGTCATATTTGTTCAACCCAGCTGACAAATTTGCCTTCATTATCTGCTTGTTTGCGCCCTCCAAAACCTCCAGCGCAGCGTTGTATTGTGCTTGATTCTCTGCGGTCATGATCTGCTTGACAGCATTTAGTGCCTGCAAGTAGGGCAATTGAGACGAAGCTGGTTGGATGAGGACCTGCTCAACCATTTGGACCAGTGGAAGCTCCGGGTCTAGTCTCGACAGCACGGCTTTCAGCAGCGATTCTCGCGGACTTGCCGGAACAACGACTTTTCATCTCAGATCGTGGCGCCGAAAGTGGTTGACCAATTTCATTGTCCATTTCACTAGCTCAATCCATGCTGCGTGGTCAGACTCGCCTCGGGCCAAGAGTTGTTGGATGGATCGGATGGCTTCAATCATGCGTGCGCTATCCTTTGCGGTAATCTCGAATGTCATATAAGGAGTAGAAGCCGCATCGTTCTTGTCTCTGCTTCTTGTATCTTGCGCCATGATCTCATCGTGACCCTTTGACAGCAATGCGTCGATCTTCTGAGCGTCCACGGTGTTATCGGTCCATGACTTCTTTAGAAGAGTATATACTGGCTGGTAGACGTTGTGAATCAGAGGAGGCTTTGTGTTGACGGCCCAAATATCGTCGCTATCTGTGCACTCCTCCATCTTATCGCTATCAGGTACGATGCTGGGACCTGTCGGCGTATCGATTGGGTTAGCATCATGAACAGTAGGCTGATCACTCTCCTGAGTCCTGATTTCGCTGGCTTCAGAGGTTTGATCCAGCTCTTGAACGGTACCGCTGTTGGCATGAGTAGCCTGCTCTTGTATGGTGCCCCCTTTCGTATCGTCACTCGGAGAACCAGCCCCTGGGGTAGGCTTTGCGATCTTGTCAGCTATGATAGATTGTAAATGAAGAGTAGTGATTGTTTAGATCTTGTTATGAGGAAAGAATGTGGTAGTTCTGCTTGCACTGGAAGAAACTTTAGTCTTATATCACTCGGCCTATGGTTCCGCAAATCACGAGTACGCGTGTCCAATTGGGTTCACTGGCGATTCAGAAGAATCCGGAACTTCATTTCCAAGAAAAGAAAAAGCTTGGCCGATTCTATTTTAAGTCACGTATCTTTGAATCCAGATTTTGAAATTCAATTTGCAAAAAGTGGTTTCTGCGCGATGGAGGCCCTCGTAGGCAGTCGAAACGATCATGTTCTAAGTACGAATAGATCGTAGCAATGATTAGTTCCCTCATACCAAGCCATGTATTTTCTCCAGACTTTCAGTACTTCTCTGCTCGCGACAGGCTATCATTGGAGCGACAATGGCTCTGTGGTGGGATGGAATGCTTCAAGCACTGCTCAAGCACTTCCGACGGTCACTCTCCAGCAGGCACCTTCATCAGAGGTGAAGCAGGTAATTAATATTCTGGTTGGATCATCAGGGAGTTTGACCTTCAATCCAAGCTCAGTGACAGCCTCACAAGGGACTATCCTTCGATTCGATTTCCTCGGTCTCAATCACACGCTATCGGAGTAGCGTGGATCAGAAAGAGGACTGAGTTAATTTGTGTAACTATGGAGGTCGACGGCCATATATACACCTGAGTAGTCCAGGCTGCAGTAGGCAGCAGTATAGGCAACAAGGAGGCTAGTAACAGGCAGCAGTCTCGAGACAATCTAGTGTACGCTTACGCTAACAGTTATCGTACACGATTTGCGGCCACTTTCCCTTCTATACCATTCGCGAACCCTCTTCGGAACGCATAGGAAGTGATATCATCCTGATACCCACACCTCTGCCCAAGTTTCTGAAGATGTTGATGTAGGATACATGCCGAAAGCATTCGAGACGGGTGTATTGATGCTCCCTGTGTTGCTCGAATGACTGGAATCTTACACTTGTCCGCTCGAATTCGGTAGAGCTTAGATCTGGCAGTAGGTGGTGGGAGTGATCGATAAGAGAAATCTTTGACAGACTTTGGTCCTTCAAACGCCCCATCTGCAAGGGCCATAGCGATAAATGTTCGTATAGGACAGGCAAACGCGTGTTCAGGTTTAGTCTCCTCGTGAAGCGTAATTGTTTCCCTAGTATTGTAAGTGAGTTAACCTGACAAGAAGTTCCTAGAACTCACGCTAAGCCCTCATTATTACGCTTGAATTTCCGATATTTGAGCAAAACTTTGAGCTGATATTTCAAAGTATCACCATCCCTTACAAGGTACAGCGAGCAGTCCTCATATGAGATACCCTGGTTTGACCCCCGATGATTGGATGATTCGACGATCTCGCCTAGACGGAGACCCCAATATCCCATCAGTTCCGGAATCCACATAGTCTGAACCATTTCTCTTGGGTGTACCCAGACGTACTCATCGCAGCACAACATGAAATAAATCATGTCTGCTATGTCGGCGTAAAGTGCGACAGGTTTCGATCGTTTGCGTGTGGACGCGCCTTGAAGTTCAGGGAGCTTAGAAATGAACTGTTATGTCTATTAGTAGCCCTCTCAGACAGTGAGTACCGTAGGGGTGTACTAACATTGTAGATCTCGTCGCGTTCTCTAGGACGATACTGGTACTGTTCCTCGTACCGAACAACACGTTCCAATTGATTGAACTCCTTCTTCAAAGTGTGAATACCTATTTTTGCACCAACTCGGCCCCTTCCTTTGCGGACTCTCCATCTCAGGTATGTCTTAATCTGCGGCACCGTAGGCGGTGGCCTGAAAAGACTTTCGCCCCTCTGAAGCGTCGGAGAATTCTTAGCGAATCTATATACATTTACAATCAGTCAGAGAAGTATAGATATGTGGTCGATTCTTTACCTAGTCCAGTTCTTCCGGAGCCGTCGTATGAACGGAACTTCGTAGTTTTTCGGTTGAACAGAAACTATCGGCTCTTGAGCGCCTCCCTCAAGCTCAAGTGCAAGATCTGAATCGTAATCGCTGTCATCAGTCGACATTATCAATGGAGAGAAGTGCATGAGCCTTGGGAAGAAAACTAGGCATGAGAGAGCTAGGTATTTGGACGAGACCTGCGGCCATTATAGGCCCATGTACTCCTATGCACGGTGCCACGGTCTGCTCTAACAATATCCAACACATTGCAGCTGCAAAGGGGGGTATATTCCCGTCGAGTATCATAAGCCAATGGTTCGCGATGCAAATGGTTTTCGGAAATCCGGAAATGAAGAACGGAAAAGGTTCGTGCTCGTTTAGCGCGATTCCTCCACAGTAAGATGGAGTAACCGCCTTTCCAAAGGTAAGGTTAAGAAACAGCTACACTGCAATCGCAGCCATTGTCATCTAATATGTTACGCTGTAGAGCATGGCAATCATGTCTTCGCACCAAAGGAGGCGCCTTCTCAACCCTTTCGTGGGAAGCGTTGGCGTAGTTTTAGCGAGCGGAGTTCGGCACACAATCCGGCTTTCGAAATCTCAAAATTGAAAAACGGGACATATAATCACAGCTCGCACGATTTTGTCATCGAACACATCGGGCTTGTGGTTTAGTGGTATAATTTTCCCTTAGCATGTGATCTCTATATCACCAAGCGTGGGAAAGGTCCTGGGTTCGAGTGTGTAACCCACCGCAGACGTTATTGAACTCGCACTAATATTGTCTAGTTCCCAGCAAGTCCATCCATGGTTGCCTTTTTTTTTTGGCTTTTTACATCAGCGTATGTAATTATTCATATGGATTTTCCAGATCGTAAGAGTGGATGTGCGGAGAATCTATGATTGTGGGCATGTATGAGACGAGTGGTTTTGGCTGGACACTTTACAACCTTTTTGGGCGCCCATGCGCGCAAGCTTTGGACACTCTTTGTGAATATTTTGAGTCCTCCACGTGAAAGTGGTCTTTTTCCTTCTGCATCTCCCACAGTTTATTCTAATTCCCAACCAAGCAGCTGGTTGACCAACTTGACCTTGTGACAACTAGGGATTTCTGTCGAATGCGCCCCCACCGTGCGAATAACAGCTTGATGATGGATTAACAATGATGTCCTCTTTGCAAACCGGGCATCATGCTTCGACTTCGGAGGGTAGAGCGTTGTGATCAACGAAGTCTTGCTTCAATTTCCAATTGGTCTGTTTTATTGATATTAGGCGTTTTTCCTCTAACTATTTCTCTTATTTCGAGATAATGTTGATGAGATAAAGGAAGTCAGACTGGTTAGGTCGTTGTTGAACAAGGTCCTGGAACCTTCATTACCTGGTTGAGGCTCTTTGAAAGACTTTCAACATTTGATTGAAATCGATCAAGCTGGGACACTTCATCTTCAGATCCTTTAATCGTATCATTCAGTACGGAATTTCGAGGGCAACGATATTGAGGATTCCACAAGTCCAGTGGAACAGCTTGCATTGAAGCTTCCAAATGCTGATGTTTGTTCCAAAGTTTCCTTAGCTGCTCTACGCTGACTGCGTTGACCGTCAAATAGTTTCCACAGCGCTCACAAATCACTCTTCGACATAAAGTAGAAGCGCCAGTAGACCCAATCGTCCATGTGGCATTTTTAACCACGTACAGGGACTCTCCGCTTGGGAGTTCCGTATTTTCCTCGCAGACATAACACCAAAGTACAACTTCTGTGTGATACATTGATGGTTCTGTCTGATATCTTAATAGAGCTCATTAATTCACTCATGACCTTCCTGCACGTTGATACCCATCATCTCCCCGAGCGAGCGTGCTGAAGGCTTTGGATGTAAGGAACCGGTACTGTATATTCTCAAGGATTCAGATCTTTGTCAGTGGTGCCGTGAGCGGAGACTAAAGCCTGCGGAGAGCGAGCAATTTTCTTTTCCGTACCGTCGTCATAGGCCCGAATTGTTCTAGATTCCCGCATTGCTTTCTGCTAGGCTCTAGTGTGGAAGTATTCGCGATTGAAGCAAATTGTCAGGTCAGCTATCCTTGTAGAAACTTCTAAAACGTGGTCTTGCTGAACAGCAACATCGCCCCCTGCAGGTGCGTAGATCAATGCTTGTGGATAGCTTGTGGATGGCTTGCAAAGAGGAGGGATTTTCGAAAAATAGTCTTAGTTGGCGTTCTGGTAGGAGTCCTCATACAATAAGTGAAGAACGGCATCCCGGAAGGTCCCCACAGCGAGATGCTTGTTACGTTTAAGTCCTTAGGCGGGGAGTCGACGATGTTGGAGGTGCTAGAGGATCGGTTGGGAAGTGCCAAGCCACAAAAAAAAAACCCCCAGAAATGCCAAAAAAGAACGCTCGACACCACTGGGATTCGAACCCAGGCCCTCGAAAGGATAGGCTGGCTGATCATAGATCATAGCAGGCCTACGCGATAACCACTCCCTACATACTTGTTAGTGCGTTACACCAATAGCGGCATCAGTGGTGCTTACGCCATAGTGCCATCAGAGCCCACTCGACTAGTTCACCTCGAATGATGAAAGTATTTCTACGTTTGTAAATATATAGAGATACGCAAATAAAGGGCAAAGGCTCCGCCACGTTGCGCGAGTGAGCAGCGCTAACGGGCACAGACCGCTACCGGTACCCCGCATTCTCAGCTCTGAAATTTCGAAGGGCGCATGCACGGGCTGTCGCCAACTCTAAACTGTGCAATATTGACTCCTCCGCCCCCACTCCCAGCCACGCGCTCTATCGCTATGCATTCCAATTCCTCGATACGACCTTTTTGGTATCTTGTTTTCACCCCGAAATGATGCGCGGACCCTCAAAGCCCCACCGAGCAGCTCAATCACGAACGTCGACCGCGGGACCATGCGACTATGATGCGGTCAAGGCTGTATTGAGCGATACCCTGTAGATTGTTCCTGGCGAAGAAGCGGATGTATTTACACCTTTATCAATCGAGAGCACGCACGAACACATCGAAAGCCAGTCCCAATTCTACGAAGCCGAAGTCTGCTTGTACCTCCGCTCCTCCCAGTCTCAAACCCGATTTCATCCGTACCCGATAGCAGCGAGCTTGACAGTGATACTTCAGAGGGTGGATGTGTCTACTCAATCTCGTACATTGGGATGTTCTCAGATGAGGATAGAATCAAGATCTTCCGGTTCTAGGCGCCAATTTTCGCATGGTCTCAGTGATCGATTAGACGCATATTCGTGGTCGGATGAAGGTGAGGCTGAGGGTGCTCAGAGACGGCAGCCGTTTGAGGAGAACAAGAAGCGGGAGGATATTACGGAAGTTAGAAAGGACAAGGAGTTATCACGCAGAGGTTTTAGTAAGACCAAAAGTTCAAGAACAAAAGTTTAGATATGGGAGATGACGGTATAGCTACACAGGACAGGATAACCGCAAGAATTCTGCATAAGTTGATGGGGACATATCACATTGAAAGGAAGCCTGCTCGGTATGTCGACTAGCGATACACATTATATGATCTTTCGAATTAACGTTACAATACATGAAAAGCAATGGCCAGCAAAGGAGCATTTGAAGGTATCCCAACTTAACATAGTTGCAATTCTTGATGCAGCTGAACGCTGAAGGTTCTACTCCCGAAGCACTCCGACTTCTGGAATTGCAACAAGATTTGGCAGACCCATTACTTTCCTTGCCACGGTCGATGTAGTCAAAATTATGAGTCTTCCAGCTCAACGAAGATACGTTCCGGCGATCAGAGAACTTCAAGCGTCTGGTATCTTTTTTGGTGCAATGTGAAGCATCTTTGTATATCGCCATGTAACCTCCCTTTGTGGACGGGACCAGAAAGAATTGGCCAATTCTGTATTCAACTTTGCCTCACTCGTTCAGGAGATACACAATTGGTTCACTGAGCATTAGCATGCCATGAAGTCAAGATCGCACATTGCTCCACCATCAAAAGTCTGCGGGTAAAGACTCCCTACGAGATTATCCCAAAGGACCCAGTCTGTTGATGTCTCTACACCAAAAGGTCCTTGCGCTGCGGTTGCTGCGGCCATTGGCGAAACATTCTGCGGTTGTGGTGAATCTAGCAACACATCTGTGTGCTCGTTGCTAGTTGGATTCACATCAGACGTTGCCGTTTGCTTCAGTATTCTGATGAAATCAGGATCGCGCATCGGCATGCGACCCTGCTCTTCGAGGATCTTCTCCCGATGATCCCAAGCTTTGACTGTCAGCTTTCGCACGGCAGCGTGGAGGTCGTTCTTTCTTTCCGAGAGAAGAGTCGGACGGTCCTTGTACACCTGTTCAACATGTTCCCACGCCTTATCCATTGGTAGGTTGGTTGAAGCATGGGCAAGATAGTGAAGTACGAAGATGAAGGGATGCCAGATGAAGAAAGCATTCTCGCGCCACAAGAAGCATTTGGTTGCCTGCGATCGCTGAAGTACATTGCCGTATTCAATGACTTTTAGAGCCTTTTCGTAAGTGTTGTCTCTCTCTTCTTGGGACATGTCTTCTCTTTTACCAGAAAGGTCCCATGGTTGGCGCGTGGCCAGGTAAAGCATGCACAAAATGGATCGTGCAGTGACAGATACCAGATAGTGTAGAGGTACGGTGGGGTCGCAATATCGTAGATATCGTACTTCAAAGTGAGAGGTTATCTCGGCAAGAGCGCGGTCTTTCTCAACGAGGCTGACCGAAGGGTGTTTGAGACGTGTCCAGCTGGCATCGTATTCATTCCGCGCATGCTCCCCGCACTTGAGCGTCTTGAAGAATTGGCCAAGTTCATACCGCATTCGGACAAACATCATTTCCGTCGCACCTTCGCGATCTTTGGGCAGCTCTTGCATATCCTGATTGAGATCTCGATCGTCGAGATTAGCAGGGAGTTTTGTGTCCCAGTCAACATTCGCTGCGCCGATATTCGTTACCTCTGAAGAAGTTCGATCAAGGACAACAATCTGCCACCAAAGCCGGCGTCTCATTTCTCTTTGAAACGGGGAAAGGTGTGCACTTCCGGTCTCCTTGTGTAAGCCCATGCGCTGGCCAATGCGCACAGCTATGCCCGAGAGCACCCACATGGAAGCAGCGTCGCATATGAGCCTTTCTCCAAGTAGATACAACGTAAAGGCCTGGAGGGTGATGATGTCAGAAGTACGGAGGAGACATGCTCGAGTGAGGGCAGCCTGACAGCATTTACGATATCTCCTAGATAAGAGATCTTTCGGTTCTCCGATGGAAGCCAGTGTGTCTTCAGCAGACATCGAGATGACGGCCAGATGGTAGATTGAGAAGAGAAGAGCATTCACGTTTGCTGGAACCTGGCCCATTCGCGCCGGATCAATGTTTTCGAAGAGAAGCTTTTCTGTCGTGGGCGCGTGGAACAGTTTCACAAGCGGATCAACATTGTCTCGAAAGACATTCCAGAGTCGCCTCGTGATAGTTGGTTCGGGATGGTAGGCCGTGGCATCCAAGACGTCACCGATCTCTGGATCAAACAGAAATTGTGCATCATCAGGGGGGCTGCATTTGCTTGCAATATCAAGATTGGACCTGCTAGGGAGATGGAGATCTTGGTTTTGCGTATAGTCTTGATTGGTGACATCTGAATTTAAATGGTGTAGCCCTTGGTCGACAGGTCTCCAGAGGTTGCCGTTGGTGAGTTGTGTTGATCCCTCTTCAGGCAGAACCATGTTTTCTCTCGCTTCGTGAACGCTATCGCCATTCCCAGAA